CATCGGGTGAGTAAAAGCGCCCCAGCGGGTGGCACCTTTTTTTTTTTTTATTGTTCCCCCTGTTCCCTCCACCTGGCTATGCCACTGGGTGCCACAGTTTAGATGCGGACAAATTGGAGAGAGTCCAGAGGAGATCAAACAAAAGTGAAAAAGGGTTTAGAAAACTTGACTATGAGGAAAGGTTAAAAAAACTGCGCATGTTTAGGCTTGAGAAAAGAGAACTGACGAGGGACCTGCCAACCATCTTCAAATATGTTAAGGACTGTTATAAAGAGGATAGTGGTGATCAATTGTTCTCCATGTCCACTGAAGGTAGGACAAGAAGTAATCAGCTTAATCTGCAGCAAGGGTAGTCAGTACTCAGTTTAGTAGGTCCGAAATTTCTTTGCTATGGATGAAAACAAGTATTTGTCCTAATCAAAGTTACTCCACATACTCTTAGGGCACAAGCTGAGTTTTCTGGAAAATTACAAGTAAATATCTTCATTAACTCTGCACAAATTGTTAGAACCCTCATGCCATTGAGCACTTTATGCCCATGGTGTTGTTGGTATTCTGTAAAGTATAGTTAATTAGTATCAGTGTTGGTCTCTGGAGATAATTTTGTAATGTGACACCAGACTGAAAGACATTTAGACAATTAAAATTTTACAAAAAATTACATTGCTTAACAAAAGATCAAATGCATAGAAACTGAAAAGTGTTTAAGGTGTAGGCATAGAGTATGTGCCATTCAAAGCTGGGTCATTCTAATCTAAAATACTTGCAATATTTTTAACTCCGTTTTGATGTGTGTGTGTTTGTATATACTGAAGCATAATTTTTTCTCGATCAACACTGCAAATTGTTTAATATCACTGAACAGTATTTACTACACTAGTTAGAATGTTCCGATATTACTCAGATGTACTTTTTTTTTTTTTTAATGGAGTTGTTCTTGTTTTGCTTTTTTGGAAAGAAGATCCAGTTTTCATTCACTCTAAGTTTTTTCCTCCACATAACTACTTCCTATTTCATCCTGCCCCCAAATTGATGGACCCTTCCTATAACTACACTATCCAGGGTTTAGACAATGGAGAGGAGAGAAATGTCACATCTGAAGTATTGTAGCTTCATGACTGGATGGTTTTTGCCCCCTCTTTAAATTTGTCCTCACTTTCTCTCTGTTTCATTCTTACCAGCCTAGGATTTGTAAATCAACAGGAACCAGATCCCTTCCAAGCACTACTTTCCGCAAAAATTGGCCAACAGGAGCCAAGCAGGATAAAATAAAGAGCACTCCCCTTCCTCTGTGGAGCTGTGTGTGTGTGAACTGCACGTTTCCCAATCTTGCTGGCCTCTGAACTAAAATACTTTGATCAGGAGTTCAGCTCAGAACCCTCTCTGGGCTAGAGCTTATATTTATATCTCAACTAGAGATGATGTAATATCCCTTCCACCTGGTACATGAAGATATGATGCAAACATTCACTGATAACTGGACTCATCTGGACTCAGAGGGGGTAGGTTAGGTGTTGCAGTCCTATTAAAATATTAGTCTCTGCTATGCTTTGCTTGATGCATATGAACTAGAACTCTAGATTTCCATACTAAAAAATCTAAGCATGCTAATGTTTCACTTTGGTTCTCCTTTCTAACTAATCTACTAAAATCTTATTAACCTTGACCTGCATTAAATATTCACATTCCATGGACCTGATCTTGCATCTGTTTGAAGTCAGTGTCAAAGTACCAATGAGGTAGCTGAGAACATCATCAAGCTCCATAGGGATCAATAATTCTTTGTATGATGCATCTAAACAAACTTTGTGGATCTGCATGAATTTCAGCACTCTGTATTTACTATTTGTTATATATTCTCTTAATATTAAGAGTACTGCAGTAGTTTCGAGAGGCACCTCTATGTCAAAATGCATAAGGGATGTTCCCTGCCCCCAAAGAGCCTATATACTATGTAGACAAAACAGATAAAGGAGAGGGGAAAATAGTAGTAGTAGTAGTAATCAGATTTCATAGATGGGGAACTGAGGCACATACAGATTGTGATTTGCCCAAGGTCACACTAGATGTCTATGGCAGAACTAGGAAAACAACATAGATCTCCTAAATCCCAATCCAATGCCTTAACTACAAGGTCATTCTTTCTCAGCTTTTCTGTGCTTACTGCATTATTGAAAATCCTCTAAAAATAAACACTTTTAAGAAGTGTCTATTGCATCAAGGTTTCTAGCATTAGTGTTCAACACTGCTGCCACAGAGAAAAGAAATAGACACATGAGATAAGACACATGAAGATGAAAGATGAGAGAATGTTAACATACTTCCTTTATCTCTCTTTCCACTGAATCACTCTCGCAATAGAGTCTAAATTGAGCAACTGGCCTGTAAGATGTTTTGCTGCTGGTTTTGCAGTAGCACACAGTCAGTTAAGCTATCTGTTTTAGACACGTAGAATGTGTGTTCTGTATTTGCTGCTAGCCAGCCAGTAGATAGATTTTGTAGAATGGACAAAGTTAATGGGACAACTATTTCAATGAAAGAAAAATGTCACGTAATTTTCCATAACTATGCTGGAGCCAGTCCCTACTCTCCCAATGGACTATCGCCCCTGACTATTTCCTAGTCCTTCTGTCTCTAGAGGTTACTTTCAGATTCTTCCATTTTTTACAGCTGGGCTAATGAATAGTTTACACTGTAATGATAGCTCCTTTTTCTCAAGTTGGCAACTGGCATTTCTATCTTGCAAATGAGATTTTTGATAGTGAATATGCTGGTGAGTATACCAGTAGCAGCAGAAAAGATGTTAGCATGCCTAACTCAAGATTGGTGGTTGAACCAGAAGAACCTGTAGAACGTGTGAGACTGGATTCACAGGAGAGTTGATGACCAAATCTCTGTTCTGGACTTTTTCTTTTCTCCATGATGTTTGATATTTTTGAAGTAGAATTTTGTTACAGACTATTAGGTAGAGCTCTTAAATATTGGCTCTGAAAATTAAAACACTTAACTTGTCCCTTTTTTATTTGTAGCGCTACTGTGAATAAAAAGATCAGTTTGTGCTAAAGAATTTTGTGTTAGTTAAAACTTGTCAAAGTTGAGCATGAAGTTTTGATACTTTGTGTAAAATTTGCATAAGATTTTCACAGTGCATTTTTGAGATTTCTACCTAATCAATCTAGTGCTCCTGTCACCACGGTGTCTAATCTAGATGTGACTTTTGAGTATGGTTAATTGAAACTGGTCACGTAGTTTAATTCATATAGTTCTGGTTCTCTGATAGGCTCTGACAATCTCTGGAGGGTTAGCAGAAGCCATTTTGACTGCTCTCAGAGAGAAGGTGTAATGCTTCACTCTAATACTCAGCAAGATGTTTGTACATTCTGTTAATTAAAATAAAAATTATAAAGCTTGGGAACTGATTCAGTTTACCTGAGAAACTGGTTATTCAAGTTTAAATAATTAATAAATCTCACGTGTTTTGACTATTTATTAAAATATGACAAAGGTAACCTAACAGGAGTTTTCTGCATGTGGCATGCTGCTTCATCCTAGCTGTGAGGAATTTCCACAGATCAGCGAAAACATGGACAGGACAATCACTATCATGAGGTCTTGTAAGATCTTAGCCACTTCAGCTGCTTCTCTGTTATTTGGCATGGCATCTTCTTAAGGAGAGCCAGATGCAAGGTGGCCTTCCTAGCCACCAGAAGCAGCAGGAACTGGTGATACAGAGGAATTCTGCACTGTACTTGTCAGAAATACTTTATGAATAGCGCGTTGTGAAACAAGAGTTTGTAATACTCTCTATCCAGGTTCAGGAGAACACCAGTTTTCACCTGGTATCTGCAAAGTTGTTTCTTATGCAGAGTATGTGTGCTATCTTATAGGCATTTGATGATAGCAGAAACCTGGTGAGTGGTGATTATGCTGGTATCAGCCAAGTTATACTACTCTTCTTCCTAGTGGAGAAAAAGATTTTCTCCATGATTCAGCAATATGAGTAGGCAGATGACAAAACGGTGCTATCGCTATTGAAAGTCATGCAGTACATGTTACAGAATAATTGAGAAGACAGCGACATGCAGAAAGTACTACATCATTTCTATGTACCTTTAAAACACCATGACAAATTGTGGAGGGCAGAGAGGAAATATGATGTGTCTGAAGCTGAGCGAGATGGGTAAACATGCAGGTGTGAGAGGGAAGATGATTGTTGAAAGAAAAGGGGGCAAAAATGTGCAGCTGACGGAGGGGAAAGAGAGGAGAGAAGGGCAGCGCAAGTATTAAGAGAGGTGGCCAAAGTATAGTAGAAAATATACATGGAAGATAAAGTGGAAATTGAATACAGAAGATTAATAGATTTTTAAAGCCACAAGGGAGGAACTTTTAGACGAAGACATGCATGGATTTAAAAAAAAAAATCCAGTTAATCACTTTCAATTTAATTCATGAAATGAGGTGTTGTTCTATGTGCTTTGAAAAAGTGCTCACACATCTTGGACATTTCCCCTCCAGGTTGTGTCTGGCAAGGATTGGTAACAAACTGTTGGAAAACTATTTCAAATCTAATTATGAGCCTCTGTATATACAGGGCCTGGCACAGAATATAGACTTGTGAGAGCAGGAAGGAAAGTGTTTAATTTATTATGTGAAAGCACTCACCATGATGAATCTGCAATAAGAGCCCTTCTGAGATTAGTTTAGGTTTCAGCCACCCTCAAGATCTGTCTGCCTTCCACCAGCTGAAGAAGGAAAGAGATTATTTACACTGTAAGCGCCTTAGAACAGGGCTAGGGCCTGATTTACACCTTATGTGCCCCTAGGCACAGCATCTTCAGCGCTCCCCCTGCCTACAGCTGACCATATTGTACACAGTTTTAGAGAGGTAAGGTGCCCTAGAACACCGGTGCCCCTAGGCCCGTACCTACTGTACCTAATTGGAAATCCAGCCCTGGATAGGGACTGTCTTTTTCTAGTGTCTGTACAGCACCAAGCACAATGGGGTGCTGGTTTATGACTAGGGCTTCTGGGTGCTACAGTAATACAGATTTAGAATATATTAATAATAATGATAACACAGCATGGCATTTCTTCACATGGCTCAATTAACCAGGCACCAAATAGACCCTGATTTATCACCATCAAGGTTGTTTGTTGTCTATATACTCTCAGTGCAGCTAGTCAAACTATTATGCAAAGTGAAACATAAGTGAACTAATAATATTATGAACAAACTCAGCTTATCAAAAAGTGATTATGTATATAACAAAAATAAAAAGCAAGCACCATGAAATGTACATAGCAAACTAAACAACTTCATAATTTTATTGCTGTAAACCTCATCCTCCCTTCCTCCACATAGTGACTAATTGGTACTGTCTTATGTCTAGATTTAATATACAAGTTTTTAGGGGCAAGAACTGTGACTTTGCGCTTTCTGTAAAGCACCTTCTATATTTTGGGTGGTATGTGACAATAAATGCTAGATTTTAGTTCAGAAAATTGAGCAGGAGAAACCATTGGAACTGAATTTTGAATCCAGAGGGCCTCATTCTTCTCTTATCCTTTATAATTGCTTTTGCACTACCATCTTTTCTCCTCACAAGCTCCCATGTAGGTTTTAACTCTTGTCTGCAAGGGAGGCATAGAGCAGAGGCTAGGCAGATACACCACACACATCATCTCACCCTACCTCCAGCAGAATTTCCAAGTTAAAAATGATAAAAACTGCCTAAGGCTGTATTATAAGATCAAACAGCTTGACTGGCTTGTTTTAAAAAAAAATGCTTCAGGTTAACAGAATTAAATGTATATGAAGTATTAACACTCACAAAAAAGAAGGCAGAGGATAGAATTCAAACAAAAGAAATATGGGAACAATGTTTTTGTTACTTGTTCCAAGATAATACAATTATTTTATACTCTTATGAGTTTCTTTCCGGGATAAATCTTTAATTATACACTGTGGAACAGCTTCAACAGCAAAGACTGAGGAAGCCCCACATCAGAATATCCTGTACCACATTGCTTAGAGACTCTTCTGACCCCTGTTCAAATCCCCTTTCCCCTCCTCAGGCAAAGGCGGGAATTGATCCTGGGTCTCCTATGTCTCAGGTGAGTGCACCAACTACTGGGTTAGAAGTTATAAGATTGACAGTGGTAGTGCCTCCACCACTAGCCAGATTTTGATTTGGACTTGATCACGTAGGTAGCCTCTGAGCACCCTTACTGGATTGGGACTCGCATGCAAGACAGGTGGTGAATGACTATCTTCCCCCAGTTCGTGGATCTCATTGGGGCATAGGCAGGAAATAGGTGCCCAGATGCCTTGAGTCAGGCAGCAGTGCACATGCCCAAAGCCAGAAACTTAGGCGCCAAGGGAAATCTTAGTGCAATAATTTGAGTTGAGTGAGTTTAGGTGCCTCAAGTATTAGGCAGCAGCTGAGTAGGAGTTTTGTGGATGACAGTGAGCCTAAAATGGGGATTTAGGTGCCTAAATATTTTAGATTACCTCATGACATGTGTAATCTAAATCTGCTGGATTGTTTTGTATGCCTGCTTTTGATATCACCCCTCTGCTGTGGCCCCCTTCACACTGAATTAGCTGTCATAAAGCACCCACAACTGGCTTAAATCCCTCCTCTCTTTTTCTCTGGGGATTATCTTTGGGATTGGAGCTTCTTTGGGCACCATGAGACTGATGGAATGGGTGGAGCAGGTATGCCCTTTAGCTCTTCTGGAGTGGCTGAGCATCCATAGGGGGATGTTCAAAGCTCCCATAAATTAAAGCACCCCTTGGAGTTGCTCTAATGTATAGAATCTGCCACAACTCCAGCTGGGCTCAGAATTCAGAAGGCATAAAGATAGCTTAAAGCCACCTTCCCCCACTCCACTTTACTGTGCTGCCTGAGCCATTACCATTAAATCATATGACTGTATGGGCAAACACCTAATCTTAAAGAAGCCCCATTTGATAGTTTAAGGATGAAATAAGGATTTATAATTGACCTTTTTGTGACACCAGTGATCATTTACCACAGGGATATAAAATAATTCCCTTTGCTGATGCCTATATGCCAGACATAAAACTACTCACATATGTTGCAAGGAGGCCTATCATGTGGCTTGTGTTAGTCATAGATTGGAAAAGAGCAAGAGGCAATTTAAGTAAGTGTTAATATTAAAAGTTCCTAGTTCTTCAGCCAGCAGGCTAAGGAAGGTTTAATTAAAATAAGAGAAGAAAGCTCCAAAGAAAACAAAATTCAACTAGTGAGTTTTTGAAAGTCTAAACTTACAAGGTCTCTCTCTTCAACTATTATCACTGTCCGATAAAACCAGTGAATCTTCATATGTAAATATATCAATACTGGCAGCTTTTTGTTGGGATGTTTATCTTGAGCCTAACAGGTGAATGGCAGTGAGTTTACTTGCTTTTCCATTTTCATATGAGGCTAGAGAGTGGCTCACTGTCTCTTTATTAAACAGTACTGTATTCTACTGTTAGTGATTCACTGCTAATTAACTAAATAAAGGGAATATATGTAGTAACAATAGCACAGAAGGTAGTCCTGGATCCATGTTAGATTTGAAACTCAGCAATTGCGCATTTTAAAGCTGAAAAATATAGAGATCCCAAATTACCTAGGTAGTATATCAACACTCATGATCATAGTTCAAAGGTTATAGACAGACACAGGACATTTTTACCATCTTAAAAATGGCTTTGTTTTCTCATTCTATAACTAGAAACCACACTGGCTTGTTCCTGTGTGTTGAACTGATAGCATTGGTTTGGGTTTTGTTTTTCACCCTAACCCTAAGAGCATTTTTAATTTAATAAAACATATGGTCAAACTTTCAAAACGTGGCTTTCAATTTTGTATGTGTATTTGCATCTCCAGAGCTGATACAAGCCAGTCCCAACTGGTTTGAAACTGTCATCCCCTCAGAACTTTTCCACCACTCACTCTTTATAAGGAACTATGCCATGTCATCACGGGGCTGTCTGTCCAGGAGGCAGCCATGTGCAGTCGGGCTTTTGCGTGGATCTCCGGATCAAGAGCTGTGAAGGATCCAGTGACACCATCAACTTACCTGCCATCCAGGGTCCTGTGGTCCACCATCCAGCAGCTTTGGTCCACCAGCTTGTCACCATCCAGCAGCTGAGATCCAGTGTTCCTCCCCAAAGGCCAGCGTTTGGCTTGAGGGTAGAAGGTCCTGGACCCACCGCTCACTATCATCTGACCTGCCCATAGATGACATTGGAGTAGCAGTAGGCTATATAGGAGATTTGATTTGTTTTGTTATTGTTGCTGTGGGAGGGGTATATTGGGCCTGAGCTTCAAGTTCCTTTGTTGCAGTCCACTGTTTGCTGTGTTTTTATGTGTTTGCTTGTGGTTGTCCCTTTACCCCTTTCATGTAACCAACCCTAATACACTACTTACCTGATTCAAACATAATTTTTGTTTCTCCTCTTCTTTCTTACACCACACTTGTGAAGGGAGGGTGGGACACAGGAGCTGCTTCCTCAGGTGACAGACCCTGATAGCAAGTCCAAGAACCTGGACCTGTAAAAGGGAAACAGAGAGGCATATTGGGGTTCTTTTAGTTTTGATTTTTCCCTGGTTACACAGGAGGGGACTCTGGGCTGGGGCAGGGAGCCTGCCTTAGACCTGGGCCCACATTGCATTGCCGACCAGACTTTTAACAGCCCGTCAGCAGTGCCGACCGGAGCAGCCAGAGTCCCTTTTCGACCGGGTGTTCCCGTCAAAAACCAGATGCCTGGCAACCCTACTTGCATTAAATCAGGCAAAGTTCAAGCAGACAGTGCTCTACCATCTGTGTTTGAGTACTAATCTTTAACAATGCTTCCTATGTTACTCCTGGATCTCTATTGGACAGAGACTATAACTTGTGCCAAATTGTATGGCTCTGTAACATGAATGTATGTTAACTAGAAGAAGAACACTAAATGTCCTTTCAGTAGTGACCTGAGCTAGGATTTGAACTCAGGCCTATCCAGGGGGAACACTAAGGCACTAATCCACTATATTACCTATCAGAAGCTGTGATATTGGACAGACATGTCAAGACAGTGTTTGATCCTGATGGCTGCAACATGAGGTTTCAGTTCACATTTTATTTATATGATGCTCAGTACTTCCTCCCATCTGAAAACACAGGACTATTATTATTGTCTGGAGGGAAGGAAACCTGTCTATTTGTACTGCTGGCTAGAAATATTTCTAAGAGCAGCTGCAGTTGTGTCCAAGATGAAAACGAAGGTGGGGGTGAATCAGTACTATACAAAAATGCAGCAATGCTGTGAATTTTTTTTATTTAACAAAAATATTAATTCACCGGCAAATTAATCTTAAATCTGTTCATTTTTATTATTATTTTCAATTATGCCAAAACCAGGATCTGAGCATCTGGAGAGAAAGAGGATGTCCAAACTAAGTAAAACAATCTCTCTGGGTTTTCTAGTTTATTTACACCTTTCTTGTTCAATTGAAATTACACAAACCAGCAAAATATCTGGCTGCATTCCCTTTGTACCATTTAACAATCTGTAAAGTCCAAACAAAAAAATATTAAACCAAACATACGCATAAAGGGATTCCCTATTGATATTTCAATTTAACTACTGGTGCACATAATCAGAACAGATATCCATCTGGCTTGACCAAACACTTCAATCAAAAACATGGTCTTTCCACTGCCTTTGCTCATGTCTGCCTCTTGGGATAAGGCACTTAAAATTTTTCATGGTTTTACAAGCATATAGCTGCCAAGCAACAAGTTAGACTAAGAGTACGCATAACAATGTAAGTGCTATCTCTTCTCTAGGAAGTCTGTCCTTTGTCACATCACTGCCATGCACACTTTCCTTCCACTTTAACACACAAGTTGACACCTGTCTGCCAATAAAATAAATACTTGACCAGTAAAAGAGAGATGATGTTCACAGGTACTTTTAGTTCCCAATGACACAGTCTGTACTGCAGCAGCTAACTTGAAAAATCATAATGTCTAGGTGAGGTGTCAAGACGTATACAACACAAAAATACTGGCTGAAGGCACTCTGTGGGAAGGCAGTCCAATGACAAACTGTGAGAGAGGAGGAAGAAGCTCCTGAGGGTGAGGAAGACACCTTGGAGGGAAAAAATTGTGATGTGTCGAAGGGGTCAATGGGGGTCCAAAAGGGGCCACCCCCCCTTTGCAGCAGCTGCAAGGCCAAGCGGCAGGTGCCTGCTGAGCCGCCCTTTCTCTCAGGGCACCGGCGCCCTAGTGGTAGGTGTGGGGAACCCAGGCCTACCCTACTCCAGAGGGTTCCAACCCAGGGCCCTACAAAACCAATCACCCCAAAGGAGGGTTCATGTCTCCCACACATCCCCAGATCACTTCCTACCCTTAGGCCTACCTCGGGTGTCTCTTCAGCTGGCAACAATTCAGCATCCCCCTTAATCCCCACGGTCCACTGGTTCTCTGTGGCATAGCCAGGGTCCCAAGCCTCAGCACTCAAGAGTCTCAGCAGTTCTGCAGGAGCCTGCAGTGTACATCTGGTCTCCTCCTCAGCCAGCCCACCCTGAGCTGAGCTGCTTCCCTTTATATGGTCCCTCCACTGGGAGAATGCCCAGCAGGGGTGAGGTGTGACCTCTTGGGCCCAAAGTAGTAGGTAGTCGTTGGTTAACCCTGCCTGACCAATGCAGGGTTGGTTTAGTAGCAATCTACTCATATCCCTGCCAGGCTTTATTTCCAGGGTGCTGAGAATTTAGCTTCTACAGCAAAATGAGCAGGAGCTGCCCTTTCTTCTCAGTGAATGGAAGGGAGTGTAGCATCTAGACCTGGCTGAGAAAACTGATGACAATTTTTGTGATTTAAAAAAATATATTTTATTTTGTTGACACTTGACAATCGGAAAAATTGTGGCCAGCTCTAGTAGCATCTATTGTAGTACACATTGTTTTTCAAATTTCTCCCTACTTAATCTATGGGCATAATGTTTTTCTTCCTTAGATGTTTGTTCTATTGTGTGTTTTCTTTCAGGTGTAGAAAACAAGAGAGTCAGTTACAGAAAAAAAAAAAAAACACCACAATATAAGCAATTATTACTCATTCCTAAATAAACAGCAGATAGTCCTGAAACTTGGATCAATGATTTAATCTGAGAATTTATTCACAAAGACCTACTTTTATAATAAATCCATTAAACGTGGCCCATGCTCTTATTTCTCAATCAGGGATGAAGCCAAAATGTATAGTACCCAGGACCAGATATTAAAGCAGGGCCTACTTGTAGCCCAGCCTCCCTGTAGCTGCCTAATCCCCCACTGACTGCCTCTATTTCCCTTCCTTTCTGCCCACCATCAGAGATTTTATTCACCACCTAGCCAGAAAACCACTATCTGCCAGGAACACACACACACACTCACACTCTTACATTTACACTTAGTCATCCAAGCACCCACGCTCAAACTGACCAGTTCTCGTCCAGGCACTCAGATTACCATGGTGATGAACACAGTACAAGAACCTGCATTAAATAAAGAACTCATCTACATCCTGGGGCTTTCCCTCTGAAATGGCCCTCATTCTAGTCCCAAAGTCGCATGTGTTCCACACAATTGTCATGCCCCCTTTCTTTTAATGCTTGTATTTTATTTCTGATATAAATAATTTTCCATGAAAATGAGCCTGCAGTTAATTACAGTAATGGAGTGAATCTCACTTCATTTTAATTTTCCTGCTTGAATTAGAGGCACCAGCTTTCTACTGTGCTGGGGGGGATTCTTGACTCCCAGCTCTGCCCTAGGCCCCACCCCCACTCCATACCTTTCCCCAAGGCCCTACCCCACCTCTTCCTGCCTTGTTCCGCCCCATCCTCCGAATGCGCCCCGTCCTCACTCCTTCCCCTCCCGCCCAGCACCTCCTGCATGGCGCAGAACAGCTTATTGTGGCTGGCAGGAGGCGCTGATCAGCATGGCCGCCAGCAGGTGGAAGGCGCTGGGGAAGGGGAAGGAGCTGATCAGGGGGCTGCTGGTGGGTTTTCAGCACCCACCATTTTTTCCCCATGGGTTCTCCAGCCGCAGAGCGCCCACGGAGTCAGTGCGTATGGCTTGAATAATGTTTTTATGTCCCTCATTTTGAATTTTTGTCACACATTGTGTCTCACAGTTGAGCCTTGGCAAGTTGAGAGGTATGTCCCAGGCACCCACCTACACAGTGACCCCTTTCCCAGGTACCCACTCTCCTCCAGGAGCATGTATTGTGACATAATGCCTAAAATGTCTGCCTTTTGTTGCAGGGGTAGTGAGTTCAAATTCTGTGTGGATGTATTTATAGTCTTTGCAGATTCTGGTCTCTCAGGGTGAACTTCAGTTCATTTGCAAATTTGACACCATCAGCTCAGGATTAAACAAAGACTGTGAATGGCTAGCCAACTACAAAAGTAGTTTCTCCTCCCTTGGTGTTCACACCTCAACTGCTAGAAGAGGGCCTCATCCTCCCTGATTGAGCTAACCTCGTTATCTCTAGACTGATTCTTGCCTGCATATTTATACCTGCCTCTGGAAATTTCCACCACATGCGTCTGACGAAGTGGGTATTCACCCACGAAAGCTTATGTTCCAATACTTCCGTTAGTCTATAACAGGGGTCGGCAACCTCTGGCACACGGCTCGCCAGGGTAAGCACCCTGGCGGGCCAGGCCAGTTTGTTTACCTGCCGCGTCCGCAGGTTCGGCCGATTGCGGCTACCAATGGCCACGGTTTGCCGTCCCAGGCCAATGGGGGCGGCGGGAAGCCGTGGCCAGCACATCCCTCGCCCCTGCCGCTTCCCACAGCCCCCATTGGCCTGGGACGGCGAACTGCGGCCAGTGGGAGCCGCGATCGGCCGAACCTGCTGATGCAGCAGGTAAACAAACTGGCCCGGCCCGCCAGGGTGCTTACCCTGGCGAGCTGCGTGCCAGAGGTTGCCGACCCCTGGTCTATAAGGTGCCACAGGACTCTTTGTCGCTTTTTACAGATCCAGACTAACACGACTACCCCTCTGATACAAATGCATAGGGACTCAAACTTGCTGGGTGCTGCTTAGATCCAGTATAATCCCTCCATCAGGCCAATGGAATCTGCATGCTGCAGAAAGGGTCTCTGCACCAGCTCTAAAAAGTCCTGTAGATACAGAGAGAGAGAAGTGAGAGGCTACTGGATCCACATTTACTCAGACTTTCACATACAGATATGGAAGGGATGCTGCTGCTATTTCAGCCTGCAGGAGCTGTTTTGTAGATCCACAATCTGCCCACTGGATGAGGGGCTCGAGTCGTGTGCTCCTGACTCCACACAAAGGCCAGCTACTTAGGCTTTATTTAGGAGGAAGTGCATGAAATTCACCTGCACTATCAGGTGACATTTTCAAAATATAACTATATTTAATAATCAAAATGTCCGGCACTTAA